CCCCAAAACCCCAATCCCCAAAACCCCAAAACCCCAAAACCCCTCTCTTCGTAATAAATTTGAAATCAGTTCAAATATGTACAGCAAGAAGGACTATTTGCCAGGCTACACTGGCTTTGTGGCTAAAAAGAACGATATTTATGGTGTCACAGTCGGCGAAGCAACCAGGCAGCTCAACCATGAGAGTTATAAGTACACTAATTTTACAGCTGATAATGAAGCCCAAAGTGGGATTAATAGACAGAAATGACTCTATTCCGCCAAGCCTGCCTCTGCTGATGATAGCTTGAGAGTTACAATGGGGAATAGGTCCAAAGAAGGCAAGACCTGGATTGGTGGCCATACTCAGAATTTGAAGCCACAACATGTGCCAGGGTATAAAGGTCATGTTCCCGGCATTCACTCTGAGAATATTTATGGGAGGACTTATGGACACACAACTGGGAAAATTATTGCAAGAGAGCATAATGTAGGCAATGAAATTTCAACCTCTGATAGATTCACTACAACCACTCAGCAGGAGTTCAACAATAAGAATCATAGAAGGCTGGCTGAGAACGGAGAAGCATTAATGAAAAGGGATAAGGAAGATTTCGAAGAGTATTTTTCCACAATGGGCATTGATCCCATAGAGCTTTCTAGACTTCCAACCGAGCCAAGAGCCATTGATGAACTCCCAACAGTTGGATACTGAGGATCCCAGTCATTATATAGACATAATTTAATGAAAAAGGCTGGAGCTCCAAACTACTTAGATGTTTCTCCTCTCAAGGCGAAGCTACGTTTTACAACTAATTATGATTTACAAGAGACAGAGACTTACCAGAAACTGTCTACAGGATTTAAAAAAGTTATTGATAAAAACACTGATTTATCTGAGAAACCAATAACTATACCTGTAGTTGGATTCACAGGACATAGGCCGGGAAATAAAGCCCAGAACTTCCACGGGAAGGCATTCAAAGAGTGCACAATGCAGAGCAAGTGGATTGAGAACATGACTAAATAATCTCATTCCCATCAAGGCTCACTTTCTAGAACAAAGTAGCTTGAAATATTCAATTAATACAGGAATTATAGGGGTTTTGGGGTTTTGGGGTTTTGGGGTTTTGGGGTTTTGGGGTTTTGGGG